CCCTCCTTTAACGTCACCCCCCCAGGCCTCCCACCCTCAACCATATCTCCCCCCCCCCCCGGTCCATGGATGATATCTAGATGTTTCTACTGCTAGTTTACATCCTGGTTGTTAAATGAAGGATGAAAAACAATGTGAAAACCTGGCGAAGCTGGGGGATAAATTATTCCCTGGCTGTGGATACCGGGGGAATAATGGAGAATTACTGGTCGGCAGATATTTTAATAAATGAACAGTGTAAACTTTAAACTATAGAATATTTATCAAGTAGCACCAAATAATATATTATAGAATATTAGTCAAGTGCCCGGCGTTGGCCGAAGAAAAAAAATTCAATTTTAAAAGGAAAAAAATCGTTATTTGAAAAAAAAAATTTAAATAAAAATGTTGAAATTTGTTATCCTTTGTTACTTTCCGGGCAGCCATGGGTTTCCTTAAAAAATGTCAGCCCATTCGGTCCAGCCGTTTGGCCAGCTAGAAGTCTCCTAGTTCCTACTGATCTTGTAGTTTCCTAGTTCCAACTGATCTAATAGTTTTCAGATTCCAATATATCTAGATATTCCAGGTTCCTACAGATTAGTAGTTTTCAGGTTCCTACAGATTTAGCAGTTTCCTGGTTCCCACTGATCTAGTAGTTTCCTGGATCCTACAGATCTAGTATTGGTCCTTACTAATCTAGTAGTTTCCTGGTTCCTAATTGATCTAGTAGTTTCCTGATTCCTACTGATCAAGTAGTTTCCTGGTTCCTACTGATCTAGTAGTTACCTGGTTCCTAATTGATCTAGTAGTTTCCTGATTCCTACTGATCTAGTAGTTTCCTGGTTCCTGCTGATCTAGTAGTCTGGTTCCTAATTGATCTAGTAGTTTCCTGATTCCTACTGATCTAGTAGTTTTCAGGTTCCTACTGATCTAGTAGTTTCCTGGTTCCTACTGATCTAGTAGTTTCCTGGTTCATAATGATCTAGTAATTTTCAGGTTCCTACAGTTCTACATATTTCCTGGTTCCTACTGATATAGTAGTTTCCTGGTTCCTAATTGATATAGTAGTTTCCTGGTTCCTACTGATCTAATAGTTTCCTGGTTCCTACTGATTTAGTAGTTTTCTGGTTCCTAATTCATACAGTAATTTCCTGGTTCCTACTGATATAGTAGTTTTTAGGTTCCTACTGATCAAGTAGTTTCCTGGTTCCTACTGATTTAGTAGTTTCCTGGTTCCTACAGATATAGTAGTTTCCTGGTTCCTACTGATATGGTAGTTTCCTGGTTCCTAATTGATATGGTAGTTTCCTGGTTCTTACTGATATAGAAGTTTTCAGGTTCCTACATATCTAGTAGTTTCCTAGTTCCTACTGATATAGTAGTTTCCTGGTTCCTACTGATCTAGTAGTTTCCTGGTTCCTAATGGTCCAGTAGTTTTCAGGTTCCTACAGATCTAGTAGTTTCCTGGTTCCTACTGATCTAGTAGTTTCCTGGTTCCTACTGATCTAGTAGTTTCTTGGTTCCTACTGATATAGTAGTTTCATGGTTCCTACTGATCTAGTAGTTTCCATGGTTCCTACTGTTATAGTAGTTTTCAGGTTCCTACAGATCTATATATTTCCTGGTTCCAGATCTAAAATTATTCAACGATTTTCTCCTTTATTCTTTTCTATGCAGGAATTTTATATAATTTTCCAATTGCAAAATTTATGAACTCATTTTATTCTCCCATTCTTGTCTAACATTCAGTCCATACATATATTCTTTACTAGACAATACAACGAATATATTGAAGATAATCTAGAACGGTTTAGAGTAATCAATCAGAATACAGGAATACATCGTCTAAAGATAAAACAATTCTTTATATTTTGTTTTAAAATATCTAGCTTTGCTTTAGGCCTCCCCCCCCCTTTGAAAGAAACATAGCTTTTAAATGTCATTTTCAAGAACTATTTTTTCTACATTATAAAATGAACAATTAAAGATTTCGCAGATTTTTGCTATTTTCATTTGAACGGGAATGAGAGGGGGATTTGAACGGGAATGGGAGGGGGATTTGAACGGGAATGGGAGGGGGATTTGGGGTAATTAAAAAACATTGATAACAAACTTCTTAAACTTAAATTTTAGATTTAATAAAGGAATTGAGTTTTAGCAACAAACTTAAATTTTCGAATTCCAATATCTTAGCGACCTGATGTTAACATTTCAAACTTAGATAAGTTGAGCTAACAGTTTGAAATATCTAAGGTCTATGACATTTGGTTTGAACAATACAAGGACTAGAAAATCAGAGTTTGTTGCAAGGACTCAATTCCTTTAGCTTTTGTTAGACTCGGATAAATATTACTTTTCTTGGGTTTTTTTTTCAAAAGAAGAATGGCACTGTCTAAATTCTTTTAAACTATTTCTTATGTTTGATGAATTTAGCTGCATGCTCATGATTCTCAGATTTTCCAAAAATGAATTCCTGATATTTTGAATTAATGTTTTATCGAAATCTGATTCATATAAATTTTAATAAAAGATGTATGGAAATAGATTTTTCAATTCAAATAACAAAATAAATGATTTCATTCCAAAGCTTTGACTTTTTAAGGAAATTAAATAAAAAACCCTGTCTATTTGTACTTTTTGGAGTGTAGATTTAGGCATATTAGGGATGAGGTGGCACCGGGGGGAGGGTTATGTAAAGATGAAAGAGTGGAGAACTCTGAATCTAAAATCAGACAAACTAAAATAAACTAAAAATATTTTGCTTGTTTCTACCTATATAATAACTATTTATAACACTGTTATTTTGGTTCGCATTGTTATAAAGTTTTTGGACAGAAATTTTCTTTTTATCGAGAAGGATCTCGCCTTTTTAGATTTAATTTTGTCCCAAGCTAAAGCTCGGGACAAAATATAATCTAAAAAGGCGAGAACCTTCGAGAAAATTTAAGTCCACAAACTATGTAGCACGTCGTGCCAAAATAATAGTGTTATAGGTAATTTTTGAAACATTTGTGTACTTGTTTGATGACTAAACTCTTTTAATTTTCAATATTTTTTGTAAATGTTTAGCCCACTAAATAAACTCTATTTTCTAATTTTTAAATCTGATCTCTTTTTAACCCTACTATTCTCTCTCAATAAAGAACTATTTTCTTGAATAAAAACTAACTAACAATCTCTTTTTAACCCTACTATTCTTTCTCAATAAAGAACTATTTTCTTGGAATAAAAACTGAATAATAAAGTACCTATTTATGATAATATACAGCTAATTTAACTTTATAGCACTATGATTACTTTATAGAACGTTACTTATGAAATTCACGATGAAGTGAGTAAGAATGATTAAGTACTCAATAGTTTCATAAAAATAAGTTTTCCAATTTGCGATTTTCAAAACAAGAAATCGATTTTAAAGTGTCGCGCCTTTTTTGCTCTGAATTTTCCCTGCTAACAGCCTAACTCACTTACATTTTTATAGCCCTGGATATGCACATTTTTAAGAATTAAGCAGTTGTTTTTAGCTTTAGTATTTAAGACGTAATTGGCAAAATTTATATGGAGCTTGCAAGATCACTGTAGTTAAAATGATGTAATGGAGCAGAAGATTAGCTAAAAGGAAACATAAAAAAATGTTGTAAGAGAAAATGGCGAAGCGTGTTCCCGTTGTGAATTAAAAAGGGGGGGGAAGAAGGGGGGAATTTGGGAAGCGTTATTCTGAAAACATATAGAGGGGAATATATGAATTATTAAAGTCCACTCTCATTACTTTAAATAGTTTAATCATAATATACGAGAGCACTGATGCTGCACTTGGGTATAACATGTATAATGTATTGTACATATAGTATAATGTATTGTACATATAGTATAATGTATTGTACATATAGTATAATGTATTGTACATATAGTATAATGTATTGTACATATAGTATAAAGGAATATTTGTAACTTTTTAAAAGTTTTTTTAGTATAAATATTATTATAAGGGCAAGATTGGTATTTCATAATAAAAAAATTTAAGTAAAAGCAAAAAAAATTTACATTAATATTTATTTTGGAGTCTGGGAAAAAAAGTGACTTGTTTTTTTCATCAAAGTCTCAAGTTTATAATCTTATACATTATATTACAAGATTTTTCTATATCAAAATTATTTAAAGTACCTCCCTACTTTTGTGATCATTTAAACAACACATTCACAAATAACAGACGAAAATTTTATGTCAACCCTTTTGTCTGGTCATAAATTTGTCTTGTCTGTTTAATTGTCTGTCTGTTCAATAAACATTATAAAAGTCTATTTTTTTGGTTGAACTCACATGATTTTAAGAAAGGACCGTCAAAATGAAAAATTATTAACATTTATTATTTTAAAAATTAAATCCGCTAAAATGTGAAAATGTGCCTAGTATTTTCAAATCGTATTGGCTCAGCAGCATGGGAAAGTTCCAGCAGTTTCTTTGATAAAATTGAATGTTGTTGTATGCATAAAATATGCAGTGTGGAAAACTTTGATATTTGTTCCTTTGAAGTGCTTGTAGAGGTCCTTTAAGGCCTGTATATAGGTTCTATAAAGCCTGTATTTAATCTGCCTGGTTTATAGTTTTCTAAAGGTTTGGCCTGAGTTTCTTGAGTGGACTAGGTATCAGGGGAGCTAACCTACTAAACATATTACATTACAGGAATCTTAAGCCAAAGTTTTGATGGAAAAACTTTTTTAAATCTTGAAATATAAATCTAAAGATAATATGTCTTCCAGCTGTGGAAGTTATTAACTTTTTTTTATTTCTCAATAAATTATTTTACTTTTTTATTAAAGTTATCATTTTCTCTTTGCATTGCATACAGGGTATCATTATATTTTGGCTACGCTCAATAAAACACGTCCGAGGTTTAAATAATTACTTTATTGACTAAATTTAAATACTTTTTAAATTAAAGAAATCGAATATATATATCAAGGTGACGTGGCAGATTATGAGCTCATCTTGCCGCGTCCGAGTATCCGGCTTCAAACTCCTTAGATCGTCTTCCGCCACAGTACTCCCCCCAAGAAGGCAAGGCGGAGTCCAGGCGGAGCAAGGACTTCTTTCCTGACCTGTCTGTGAGGGTTTCGTCTTGGTATAATTACAGGTTGGTTTAAGAACAGCACAGACTTCTTCTTGGAGGCGGATGACTTCGCGGCGGAGGAAGGGTCAGGAGGATCCTTTGATTGGCGAAGAGGAGGACGTCCTCGAGGCGGAGGAGCTACAGGAATCACTGGAGAATCTGATATCACTGGTTTAAGACGGTCTACGGAAATTGAGTCTACTTTGGTACCAATCTGGAGACGGAAGAATTTACTCCGCCGTTCTATAACTAGGTAAGGACCACGATACAGAGGACTGAATGAAGGTTTGCTGGCATCCTCTCTAACAAACACAAACTTGGCTGTCCTGAGAGCCGCAGGAATCTCAACTGGAGGCGAATGTTGAACATGATGGGTCGGAGGAGTTGAAAATCCGGCAATTACTTTCTCCACTTTGCTGATGAATTGTGAACTTGGAATTTCTGGATCATCTAAGAATTCACCAGGAATCGTCAGGGGAGAACCATATACTGCCTCTGAGACGGAAAAACCAGTGTCCTCTTTGGGAACTGAATGGAGTCCCAACAAAACTAGAGGTAGATGAGAAACCCAGTCGGAGTCAGCAGCTCTGGCTCGGAGAGAAGATTTGAGGGATCTTTGAAAACGTTCAATCATACCATTTGATTGTGGATGAAAGCTTGTGGTTTGAGAGGTAGAAATTCCAAGGACTCAACAGACTCCGGCCCATACAGAGGACGTAAACTGAGCACCTCTGTCGGAAGTTAATGTTGCTGGAACTCCGAATCTTGAAATCCAGGAGGAGATAAAGGCTCTTACGCAGGTCTCCGTGGAAATTGAAGATAAAGGAACTGCTTCTGGCCAGCACGTAGTTCTGTCAATCATGGTTAATAAATAGGAGTAACCCAGACTGGACAGTAGAGGACCAACTATGTCGATGTGAACATGAGAAAACCGTCTCGAGGGAACAGGAATTGCTGGTACAGAAGTTTTCACATGGCTTTGAATTTTGCTCCGTTGACACTGGAGACAAGACCTGGCCCACACTCCGACATCTCGAGATAAACCAGGCCAAACAAAACGAGCGGAGACCAATCTCCGTGAACCTCTGACTCCAGGATGAGAGATACTGTGAAGAGCAAGGAACAAAGGTTTGCGGAGAACTTCTGGAACTAAAGGTCTAAGGTTTCCTGTAGAATTATCACATACTGACACCGACACCGCTGACACCATCGACACCTCAGGAGCAGGATCTCGGACAGGAGGAGGATCTGGAGCAGTATGAGATGGAATGGAGGTTTGGAACAGGGGTGGAGATATTGGAGATGGAAAACCAGGTGGGAAAGCTGGGGAGGAATCAACAGGTGGAAATACTGGAGTAGGGCTGGGGCGAGAAAGGGCGTCAGCTACAGTATTCTCCAGGCCTGGCACATGCACGATAGAATTCGTGAATTCTGCAATATATGCCAGGTGTCTCTGTTGACAAGCAGACCAGGGCGGAGAACTCCTGAACAAAGCAGAGGTTAGAGGCTTGTGATCGGTAAATAACAAAAATTCTCTACCTTCGAGCATGAAGCGGAAGTGTCTGATGGATAGGTAGGCTGCCAGAAGTTCCCTGTCGAAAGCAGAATACTTCTTCTCTGCGTCTGATAGTTTCCTGGAGAAAAAAGCTAGTGGAAACCAGGCTTCATCAACCGTCTGTTGGAGTACAGCACCCACCCAGGGGAGAACAACCACTTGCGGAGAGAACATGACCCAAGAACTCAATCTTAGGAACAGCGAACTCACACTTGGGCAGGCCAATCGTCAGTCCGTGCTGTCGACAGAGGAGGAGAACTTGACAAAGGTGATCCACGTGCTGCTCCAGGCTGGTGCTGAACACTAGAATATCGTCCACGTACGTGAAACAGTAAGGCAGGTCACCGAGGATGAAATCCATCATCCTCTGAAAGGTATTACCCACGTTCCTGAGGCCAAAGGTCTAAAGAGCTTGGTTCGGCTCGGACCTGGACATTCTCACCGTCCTTGGGCATTTTCACTTGAGCGAGTAGCTTAATAACAGTCTATAGTGTCGAAAAAGAACAGTCTATAGGAGAAAAAACTCGGGGTCACCAATTTGGCTACGCTCAATAAAACACGTCCGAGGTTTAAATAATTACTTTATTGACTAAATTTAAATACTTTTTTAAATTAAAGAAATTGATTATATATATCAAGGTGACGTGGCAGATTATGAGTCCGAGTATCCGGCTTCAAACTCCTCAGATCGTCTTCCGCCACAATATTTTTTTTAAATAAACTAAATTTTGCTTTAATCCAATAACAGTCCCTTTATGTTCCCTTTCCCCGACCCCTGTTGAGGGATTAAGCTACCCAATTGTAAACAAGGAATTGAAAATGTCCAAATCCACAAATAATCAGAGTTTCTTACTCAAGGAATTTTAAATAGGGGAATATATAAAGAACACGAGTATGTCAGGGGTCAATATAATTCCCTTTTCAATCCCATTTGGGATTGACAAATTTGAAAGAAATGGGGGCAAATTCTTTAATTGGGGGCAAATTTTTTTATATGATAATTTAAATGGGGCAAATGTGTTAGTGGAATTTGAAAAAAAAATTTTAACTGGGGGCATTTTTTTAAAAAATTGGGGGCATTTTTTTTCAAAATTGGGGGCAAAAAATTATTTTGGGATCGAGAAAATCAGCTTTTTTGGGAATTATATTGACCCCTGGAGTATGTCTGTCCACATCAATGTTTGTTGGACTAAATAATACATTAAATAAAAAGAAAAAATAATTGTATTTACTTAAAAAGCGCAATATTTAAATTCATATCTTTTAATTTTTGTATAAAAATGTACGATTTCATGCGCTTTAAACGACTGTAAACGTATTTTAAAATCGTGACCACATTTTAAAAAAAAAACTCCGATTCAGTTCGATACACTTGAATCCTTTGTTTTCCTATAAAAGGAATTTCAAAAAAACTTTTAAAAATATGGTAGAAAAACGAAGATATCTCATTTTTACTCCAATAAATGCCAAGAGGCACCATTGTGAATTAAATATTTATAGAAGAACGGCTTCCTCAAATATGGTGTACGGTCCCTTCAAACCTTGTTTATTTTATTGCTTTTGCCAATTTTTAAAGATCAACAATCATTTGAGAAGGATAGAAAAAGCAATAGCTTGAACTCTGATGCTAAAAAGATTGCTATGTCTGTTTTAATGTTAAGAAGGATAGAAAAAGCAATAGCTTGAGTTTTGATGCTAAAAATATGTCTGTTTTAATGACCACTGACTAGTCAGGTTCCTAGAATTCACTTCAAAAATATTATACCAATAAAAATTTGCTGCAGATTCAAAAATAAACTAATAATTGTAATATCTAATTTATCAAATTTTGGACTTTTAGTAATAATCATTTCTGGTGTTAAAATAAAAGTTTTATGAGCACATAAAATGTTTTATTGTAGCAGAGTAAGTATATAAACTTGAGAGAGAAAACTTGAATTAAACCATCAATAATTTATCAACTTTCAAATTCAACTTAAAACTTTTCTTTCCCCATTTCTAAATTGTAAAAATAATATTTTCTCTTGGAAAATTTTTCTTTTTAATTCCTTGAATTGTGGGAACACCTGTTAGAGTTCAGCAAAATCTTAGCAGTTACTCTAACCAGTATTCAAGACTCTTCTCTTTTCAATTAATTAGAAGTTTTTAAATAAAAAAAAAAACTTTTATCTCGTCTAAAAAAATTCAAATAACTGTTGACAATGGGAAGGCAATCTTTTATTAAAGTTTTTTTCTGAAACATTTGTTTCAAATTATTATTATTTTGATCAATTAAATTTTCTTTATCATATATTAAAAATTAATATCACAATTCTGTGGGATGTTAGGACTATGTAAAAAATATCGGATTTGTTCAACCGTGCTCTGAATATTAGCTCTTTGCCTCTTGGGGGAAAGAACTGATAAGCCTACGTGCAAAAAAACATTTGCAAAGCTAAGAATGGTCAAAAACTTGCTTAAAAATGACAAGAATCTGTTTTAAAGGTATTCAATATAACCATAAAACTTTGAACAGCTTTGTTAGTTTACAGATTACAAGTTCAGGGTGGAGCTTTTTCCCCAAGAGACAAAGAGCATTTATTCAGAGCAGGGTTGATCAAATCCAATATTTTTTTCATAAAGTCCTAGAGTTATTGTGATATTATTTTAAATATCCTTTAGTTTTATCATTTTTATCATTATTATAAAATAAAACTCTAAAGAAGTTTTTACGAAACTTGAGAGCTTATCTTGGTAAAATATTTTTATTATTTCAAAAATAAATAGTCATCGCTAAATTTTTCCATTCTTTGTCTTCTTACGACGAAGCACATTTGAGTTCTAACTACTTACACTATACAACTTAGTTTTCATTTGTACATAAACCATTTTAGTATTTTACTACCCATGATGATTAAAATTGAAACAATTTTTTCAAATCTAAATAAAAATAATATTTTAGGAAGCAATTCCCTTCAACAAATGTAAAAGATGTTTTTAGATGAAAGTTTTCACCAACTCCCCCCACCCCCCCCCCCCCCCAGATATCTTCTAAATAAAAAGAGATAAATTAACAGCTATATCTCTTTTTATCTTGTATTCAAGTATGATGGACTAGAGGAATTGTTGAATACTATAATTCTTGCAACTCGTGTTTAAATCTAGAAAATGTAAATGTAAAGATGTGAATACAATAGTAAACAGACAACAACAGGAAATTAACATTTCACACTTTTCAGTAGAAATCCAGGATCCATAGTAGTCTCTCAAATCCAGGATATATAGTAGTCTCTCAAATCCAGGATATATAGTAGTCTCTCAAATCCAGGATATATAGTAGTCTCTCAAATCCAGGATATATAGTAGTCTCTCAAATCCAAAATCTAAAGTAGTCTCTCAAATCCAGGATTCATAGTAGTCTCTCAAATCCAGGATCCATAGTAGTCTCTCAAATCCAGGATCCATAGTAGTCTCTCAAATCCAGGATCCATAGTAGTCTCTCAAATCCAGGATCCAAAGTAGTCTCTCAAATCCAGGATCTATAGTAGTCTCTTAAATTTAGGATCCATATCAGTCTCTTAAATCCAGGATCCATAGTAGTCTCTTAAGTCCCAGATCCGTAGTAGTCTCTCAAGTCCAGGATCTATAGTGGTCTTTCAAATCCAAAATCTAAAGTAGTATCTCTAATCCAGGATCCATGGTAGTCTCTCAAATCCGATATAAAGTCCAAGATATATAGCAGTCTCTCAAATCCAGGTTCTACAGTAATCTCTCAAATCCAGGATCTATAGTAGTCTCTCAAATCCAAGATCCATAGTAGTCTCTCAAATCCAAAACCTAAAGTAGTCTCTCAAATCCAGGATCCATAGTAGTCTCTCAAGTCCGGGATCTAAAGTTGTCTCACAAATTCAGGACCCATTGTAGTCTCTCAAATCCAGGGATGCATGGTAATCCTTAAAATCCAGGATATATAAGAGTCTCTCCAATCAAGGATCTAAAGAAGTCTCTCAAATCTAGGATCCATAGTAGTCCCTTAAATCCAGGATATATAGTAGTCTTTCAAATCCAGTATATAAAGTAGTCTCTCAAATCAGGGATCC